CCTGCATTTGCACAACTTCCAGAACATATAAGACATAGGACATCCAGGCAAGGTTGGGTCCTCCCCCTCCTGGACATCCCCCTCCCCTGTGATGGGACAGTAGGGGAGGCAATGTCTACCTGAGGCCCCTGAGCCCAGACCAGGCACTGCCGCATGTTCCCGCCTTCTTCCCGGCAGCATACATGTCAGGACCCGACCCCCAAGGCCCCGCCCAGATGGAGGTTCTGACACGAGTCTCATGGAGGCTCTGACCCGAGTCTGATGGAGGCTGTGATCCAAGTCTGATGGAGGCTCCCACACCTGGGATAAAAAGGCTGTGCCTTCAGCAGTCTGGGAGGCAGCAGTGCAGGGGTTCTGCTGTCCTCCAGGCTTCATTCTTTCCAAACCCTTCGTTTTTGATGAGTTTTAACTTCTAAAGTTTTAACTCTGTGTAGCGTGGTTAATCTACATACTAGGATTTAACACTGTTTGCTTCAGTTTGGTTAGATCCTGAGAAAAGATTGGACATTAGCATATGAACTTATATTATGCACAAATATCTAGGATGTAATGCAATCGATAGAAGTTCATACAATAACTGTCTTGGTCTATATCTTAATCCAAAGATTAATGTTTAATTTAAGATAATTAAATTTAATAGCAAAAGTTTATTTATTGAATCAGAAGTTAAGGAATCTTTGCTTATTCAATAACCAAAATATACACCATTCTGTGTTTCATTTCAAAGAAGAGTCAGGTTTTTAAAAGTTAAGAATTTATTACTAACACTTAAAAATGACAATTTGAAATGACAATTTGTAACTGACAATTTGTAACAGCTTGATATTAAAAATTGTTATTAAACAAACCTGTGTCTGGATGGAAAACTAAGGTGGAATGCGAGGTTTGGATGCGTGAATGAATCTCAGAAGGTTTCTTTCAGCGAGAGAAGCATTCTGTGTGGAAAACGTTGTTTTGCAGCCAAAGCATAATAAGTCATTGCAGTAATTAAACACATTTTATACTGAACCAAGATGATTCTTTATGATGATTGTAATAAACAGTAATAAAGTCAAAGAGTTTATTAAAATTATTATTAAAAAATTATTATTTTAAAATCTTGAAGTGTCCTTCATCTTGGGACGGAACAGCAGCAGATAAAGATGGTGTCTAGCAGACATCGTGGCTCCTGGGTTAATCTGTAGGACAAAGTTACAGCTCGACCCAGCTTGACCCAGCTGGGAAAGTGTGACCTTTGGTTCACAAATTAGAGGCCATTCATGACGCTACATCTGAGTGATCCAAAGGGATCTTTGGCTGATATCAACTAGGTTGGCTCTGTTTTAAGGTTGACTCTGTTTTGGATTTTAGACTTTTATCAACTTCGTTGTGTTTTTAAACACCTTCAGTTTTGGTAAAACTTTTAACAAATTTTAACCAGGTGTTTTAATTGTTAAGTTATCTTTTTAACCGTTAACCTTTTTGAGAAATTTTCGTTTTGCATTATTTTAATAATGCTCTCCATCTGTTTGCTCGCTGGTGTAAAAACCTTTTATGGCAGTTAAACCCATTTTTAATCCACTGTCATGTTTCTTATGTTACCCCCTTCTTCACATTTTAACAGCACATGTTGGGGTTGTAACAGCCAACAAGGGAGGAATGAAAACCAGGTGGACAAGGAACATGAGCGTGAGGGCTGATTAGGGTCCGAGGGTGAAGCAGGAATGCAGACAGTGGCGGCCAGTAGAGGGCGATAGGGTGCCGCCCTCCCAGTTTTCCCGTGTTTTTAATTTTTATTTAAAAAAATAAATAAATAAAATTAACAATAATCACATATTCTAAGTTAATTGTGTGTTTTGTAACAAAAATAAATCATATATATATATATATATATATATATATATATATATATATATATATATATATATATATATATATATATATATATACATATATTGGTCTCTGCCGGTCTCTGCCGAGCGGTGGAGGCTGTAGGCTGTTTTTGAATCGCCCAAACAGGACGGGACCAGTCGTCCAATTGCTGACAAGAAAATCAAAGGGTAGGAATGGGAATGTATCCAATCAGCGTTACCTCAAATGTAAAAACATCTGATTGAGAATCAGAAATGTTTTATTGTCCCAAAAACTGGGAAATATGACATTTGTAAGAGGATACTGATGACATTATTTCCTATGAAAGTGTTTCCTATGTACTTATCTGTTGTTTTTTTATTTATCTACTTTAAAGAGGATTAAGACTTTCCTTGAGGAACACCATGACACAGAATCGGCTGAATGCTCTTGCCATGCTCTCCATGGAAAAAAAGCTTGTCACAAACATTCCTGACTTCAATAAAAAGCTAATCGAGAGCTTTGCCACTCAGAAGGACAGAAGGGAAAAATTTCTGTACAAATGAGGTATCACACACACACAAATGCATCCACTTGATCTTTGTATAAAGTTGACCTTGGCACAACACTCCAGAAATATTTAACAGTGTAAATTTCTGGCGTTTTGTCTAAGTAGTGTTTACTACCATTACTGTAACAGTGACCTGCTCATAATTTTTGGTGTTCACTCAAATGTTGACATTAAACAAAATGTTTTTGTTACTTGCCTCTTGCATTGCCTATTTACCATTTATGGTCATGTTATTTTATGTGCAATTTAATGCAGTATTTTTCAACCTTGGTCCGCAAGGCAGCGTGCCAATAGTCAGACACACCTGGATTAATCAGTTTGTCCAATGATGTAAGACAGGAAATAAAAGAGCTGTGCTTAATTCAGGAAATAGTGAAGTTGTGCACAAGGCTCAGAAAGCACAAGTTTGTTTAAAAATAAAAAATAGCACAGCCCCACCAAAAATATTTTTCACCAGCCGCCACTGAATGCAGATCATGATAAAAGTCAATAAAAACATTTGCTCATAGTTTTTTTTACCCAGTTTGTTTTTTTATTTAAAATTTACAGCGTTTATGATCCCTGAGCTCCAGTTTTCTAATCAATAAAAAATGTTTCTGAAACCTGCATCTCACAGAATGTGTTTTGATTTCATTTCAATAATTTGTATTTGATGATTTACACATTTTTATTTTATTTTTTCATGCTTTCCTCTGTTTTGATTTGTGCTGAATTGTATTTTTGGAGACTTCCTCTGAAGGAAACCGAATCTGTTGTGGAGGAAAAATCATCATCATCAGCCCTTTGTCTTTGTCTACCTCTGCATTTATTCTCACATCCACAAGTTCCTCCTTGTTCTGTGAGGCCGTCGGGTTTGATTTCACTGACACTCGTAACAGGTGTGGTGTTGTCGTGTTGCTGCTCTGAGGCAGTTCAGGCTGTAAGATGAGACGATGAAAACCTGAATATGTTTGGAGGAAAACGAAACCAAAAACTCTCCAGGTGCTTCATTATTTTATTGTGTCCAACAGGAGAGGATCCGCTTCCTCCACCAGCAGATCCTGAATCAGCGGAGGGCAGTGGGCCGAGTCCTGAGGATGTCTGCTCTCAGAAACCAGGCTGACCGGGAGGAAGCAGGAGCAGCAGGATGCCTTCATACGCTGCTGACGAGGTAGATGCATTCACCTCCTGCAAATGCCTCTGATGGGGTAGATGCATTCACCTCCTGCAGATCCCTCTGATGGGGTAGATGCATTCACCTCCTGCAGATCCCTCTGATGGGGTAGATGCATTCACCTCCTGCAGATCCCTCTGATGGGGTAGATGCATTCACCTCCTGCAGATCCCTCTGATGGGGTAGATGCATTCACCTCCCAGAATAAATTAGGAACTAAAAAGGGAAAAGAGTGTAATTTATTGACCAATCAGAAGAGAGCTTTAAACACTTCCAGCTGAGAACCAGAACGACCCATGGACTCAAAACAAACAACATTACAGTGGTTCATCTGACTGACTAAAGTCTAATAAAGTCTCGTCTGATGAAACTCAATGGACTAATAAATAACATCAGAGCCATGAATCAGAAATAGTCAATCACATTTGATGTAACTGGTTTGCCTGTAGATGCTGGTAGAGCCGTCTCCATGGAAACGTATACTAAACATTTAACGTAAATTCTCAAAACAAATTAAAACTGATAAGATTTCTGTTTATCTGACCTGCATGCATCATTTAGGGAACGCTGCTTTTTATTTCACTTTGACTTTTGATCCAAAATTTTATTTTTATTGTTCGACCTACAAATATTTCAAAAATTATGTTTGTTGTTTATGTTTGAGGGTCTGCTGGTGCTAGACGCCCACCGGTTACAGGACAACCTCTTCCTGGACCTCTGTCACCCACTTTTACATTTTCTCAAACTTGTTCATCAGAAGTTACCATGAATCACAGGATCTAAATGAAATCCGAGAGTTTTCCTGTTTTTATTGATCAGGTTACCTGGAGGAAGAGTTCTCCTGCCTCACCTGCAGGTCCTATTGTCCCCCGTCACCTGTCTGACCTGTGGAGACGTCCTCAGGTCAAAGGATGAGGACACAATTACCTGTGATGTCCCAAAGTGTTCAGGTAGGCATTTCATGATAGGGGTGTGTGTGTGTGTGTGTGTGTGTGTGTGTGTGCGTGCGTGCGTGCGTGCGTGCGTGCGTGCGTGTCCGTCCCGAGGGCGTCTCCTGCAGCTTTGTTGACTCAGCTGGTTTCAGAGATAACCGAGGAGATCACAGCTCCAGATTTCACATGTGACTTTAGAGAATCTGCAGCTAAAACATACGTTCATATTTCTATTAAAAAGGTTTTCCGATATTCTACATTTGATGTATTAAAATGTTTTTTACTGTTGACAAACAGAAATTTCCTTGATTAAGTGTTTCTGGTGTTTATGTCGGCACTCCCTAATGACCGGGAAGGGGGGGGGGGGGGGGGGGGGGGGGCACTGACACCCCCCCCACTCCCCACCCCCCACCCCACCATCCTGCTTGAGAACCAGCACCCCCTCCCCCCGTCCAATGGGATGCAGGAATGGGACGGGCCGCAGGAAATTGCACTTATGGCTCCCAAGTGGCCAGCGTCAGGACTGTACTGGAGTCCAGTTGGGTCATCTGAGTGTGAAGTCCAGAGCTACACCTGGACTTGTTCCCACCTACAAAGGTGTTCTAAATGCACATGTGTGGTTTTGCTTCCCATGTGATTGTGGATAAAGAGAGAGGTTTTCACTGAGGAATGATCCTAATAAAACATTCAGTTCTCATCACTCCCATTAATCTCTTCACTTCTTCCATCATAATCTTAACTTAATCAGCCAGAAGTTTCTGTTTGACCCTGTTGATGTTTTTACAAACATTCTTATGAGGTTTGCCTTGTTTTTGCAGGTGTGTACTGTCGGCCGTGTTTCCACAATTTGGGCAATAAGTGTGTCATCTGCATACGACCTCTGACCTTCGAGGAAGACTGTGAGGAGGAACTGTGAGTGCCATTTCAACCACAGGTCTCAGATCAGAAAGCTGTGGAACCTGTAGGCAGGGCGATGCTGCTGTGGTACTCCAGCAGTCGCCTCAAGAACAAATACAAAGCAACAGATTGAATGAGAAAGGGCAGCGGGTTCGGGCCGCTTGTGCTGATGTGATTCCTGGTCCTCTCAGAGACTCCAGTGACGACGAGCAGCTGAATCTTTGGTCTGCAGCTCCAAAGTCGCCTGACATGACTGACAGCTGCTCCAGGATCCTGATGAGGAGGAGGATCTCTACACCAACACACAGAAGACCAGTGGATCACTCTGCCAGGGGAGTCAGAACTGATGGGAACGATGGAGGACAGACAGACAGCAGCACAGACTCTGAACTCAGGTAGAACTCCTCCTTCTTATGGTGATTCTGATGTTTGGACTTTAGATTGGACCTCCTCTCCTGGAGGCTTCAAACAATATGTCCTGCTCTTGGTTCTGTTAGTGAGGCAGACGTGACGTTCCAGGAGCAACTCGAGCCCAATGACAGCAACACCTACCTCTCCACCTTTACATCAGAAGACTTCCACATCCAGGATGAAACGCTCGTCTCCGTCTGCGTTCACACACCGGATCATCCTTCAGACCTCCACAACCTTCCAGAACCTTCTCCCAAACGCTGAACCAGCACAGGTCTGATTGACCTAATGGAATTCAACCATCTAAAACAAAATAACTAATTCTGTAAAATAAAACCTCAGACCACTCTTTCTGCTTTTTGTCAGAACTTTGAGTTCATTTTGGATCAGATGGTGTTCAGTCAGCTCCAGAAGATCCAGATTCATCCTGTTGTTTCACCCCCACCCAATCACTGGTTTATTTTAGTCAGCTGTCATCAGCTAGGCTGAGCAATCTTTCAAAATAAAAGCTGCCTTTTTTTGTTACTTTGTTAGAATACAATTGTAAAGATGATCAGAATGTCTTCAAACACTCAGATCTTTGTTACGGAAGAGCAAAAGAGGCTGAGGTCATTGTAAATAATGCTTATCGCTAAAGCTTTGTTTATTTTTATTCCCCATAATTAATTATAGGTTGAATTTGGAGCTTTAGTTTTCAGCTCAACCAAAGGTACAGCTCAGAATTCCTAGTGAATGAGATTCTGCATCTGAACATGTGGAACATCTGGAAAAACAAACTCGGACTCTGGAGGGCTGAAACGTGTTCTGCTGTTTGAGGAGGTCAGCATGCAGATCACGACTCTGAATCAGACCAAACTCACTTGAACGTCGTCAGTCTGCTGGTGAAACTAGTACACGCTTGTTTCATCGTAGAGAATCAGCCTCGTTCTGACTAGCTGAACAAACAGGAAGTCAAGAGGTCACATAAGATCATAAGATCATTTAGAGGTAGCTCATCTTTGGCTTCATGCTTCAGAAAGCTGCTGCTAACTCTGAGGTTGTGAAAGATGCAAAAGTAAAGTTGTATTGTTTTATCTTGACATGTTAAATAATCCTGTTTACGGACTGCAGATAACTGTTACTGTCTCTGTTACTGAACAACAAAAGAGGCTATGAAAAGTCTTGGCTCACTAGTTGAAATTCTGTTAAAGCACAAATTCCCTTTCAAATTAAAGTAAGCCTGAGGTATGTTTGCTGTTGAGCTGCTGTGGTCTCTAGCGGTTCTGTGGCTTGGGAAACAAAGTTTAGATTCTTTGGATGAAATAAAAAAAATAAACAGCCAATAGAACATTTTCACTATTGTTGTTGCCATGGAAATGAGAACATAACAGGGTATTTACCCTTGAGGCTAACAATAAACAGATGTCAGTCAGGGGTAACTGTATAGAGTACAAGCATAGAGGGAAGTGCACAAGGAGAGTGAGATGGGGGAGGTGAGGGGAGTCGGAGGATGGAGATGCTCTCTGAAGTGCTGAGCGTCATGAACACAGACAGGGAGGCTGCTGTTGGTAGCTCGGTAAGTCATTCCACCATTGTTGTTACGACTTTTCACAGGCCTAGACTTTTTAAGTTATGATTGGGAAACATAAAAGTCTTATGTCCATTATGTAAAATGTCCTGGCCGAAAAACGCCAGAAGTGTTTGTTTTTACAGTCTGGGTGGGAACTCCACCTGCCATTGTTTGTGCAGCAACAGCTGGTGCTGTCCAGGTGTGAAGCTGGACCCACACCCTCTGAAACACCATGTCATGCATCTGGTGAGATGGGAAAAGACTGACATTTGTTTTGGGTGTTCTCCAGATCTGAATGATTATGGAAGTAACATTTTAAGAACTTTGTTGTAATTATAAAACAAATGAAGTGCTAAAACAGGCAGAACTTCCTGTAAGTGAAGTAAAACTTTATTGTCCTAAAGGAGCAACTTGGTATGGTAAAGGTGTTTGTGTACAGATGCCAAAAGACGGTTTCTTTTTATTAGAAACGATTAACTGTGCTAACTATAAACCGGTAACACACTTTTCACATGTTTTAATAAATAAGCCAATGATCACCCTCAGTTGGTCCAGAACTCTGCAGTGAAGCTTCTAACTGGAGCAACAGAAGAACTCTGTAAAAAGTGCTATATAAATGAGCTATTTTCTCTCTGGAAGATGCCCTGGGAATCAACTAACAGTCAATATGAGCAGATTGCTAATGTCAAAAAACAAAACTTTAGTGTAAAAAAGATTAAAAGGGTTCAATGTGAGAATTGTTTTAGGAACCTTTACTGATAGTTTAGCATCACGTAGTTATTTACATAGAATTTTGTGATTATTTGCAAGGCAAATAGCTTTAGCTAGCTGTGGCCCTTCTGGTTTAACCAGAGTTGATTCTGGTTAAGCCTAAAGGCCCCTCGTGAAGAAAACTCCGGTAATACTGGAATAAGGAAAGGATAAATGCGCTCTAAAGTTTTATCAAATTATGGTTTTAGTGAACTGTAATATTTTTGTTGTGACTTCAGAAAACTAGTTTGAGTTAACCATTAACTAATCAACCCTTACAGAACTGATCCAGCTCTCAGTGGCGCGTCCAAGGGCTGGCTAATGGGGGCATGGACACCCCAGGAAAATTCTTGGGCACCCCGCTGTCCCCCTTCCCAGGCATTTGTGTTCACACAAAGCCTACATTCAGCTTCTTATTTAAGACATAACTGATAAAGCAAATAAATGTTTTGACTAAAGTTTGAAATGTATTTATTTAACAAAATCACAAGGTATGTAAACATTTATGTGTGTATGTATATAAATGGTCCCTCATTTATCGTGGGATTATGTTCCAAAAATTACCTGCCAAAGGCTAAATTCGAGAATTAGCCTGCTTTATTTTTTATAATTATTATAGATAATTGAAGGCCGTGAAACCCTCATTACACAATTCATACACTTTTCTCAGACAGGCATTAACATTTTCACACACACACAATAATAATAATAAACATGCAAAATTCTGCTAAAGGTCAGAATTGTTTTCAGGTGTATTTATTAGCTTTCCCCAAAGTGAGCTGCCTGAGCGCTTTCCAGGGCTGCTTGAATGTTTTTCTTCACAAAAAACACCACTAGAACACAGAACACTGATTATTTTACGGCCATAGCAGCATCACGAAAACAATAAAACAGCCATATAATAATAATGCATTGAACTTATATAGTGCTTTTCTAGACACCCAAAGATGCTTTCACACACTCTCACAATCACACACTGCTAGTGATGGTAAGCTACTTGAAGCCACAGCCGCCCTGGGGAGGTCTAAAAGAGGCGAGGCTGTCATTTGGCGCTGTCGGCCCCTCTGACCACCACTAACACAGGCAAGTTGGGTGAAGTGTCTTGCCCAAGGACACAACAGCAGGATACCGCTGGCGGGAGCTGGAATCAAACCCCTGACCCTCCGATCATGAGGCAACCCGCTCTACCACCTGAGCTACTGCTGCCCCGTTATAGGCCTATACACCACTCTGTGTTCGGTTCAGATCCATAATTCCACATCCATCCTGCCCCTGCTCGCTGCAACCGCAGTAGAGACCCTAGATGTGCACTCACCAAACAAAGTCTTTTCAGATGGTCAAATCTTATGTTTTTCCTACCAGCTGTGGACATTTTCTCGCTTAAGACACAAACTGTTCAACTGTTACTGGCAGCTTGTTCAAGTGGCTGGTCCTGGACTCTGTTTGCTGATTGGATCTTTTTTGTTTGCCTATCTTTTCCATTTTCTGATTCTGATTTCTGATTTTTGTTAATGACAATTATCATTGTCTCCTGTTATTTATTGATGGAAAACAATCTGCAACACAGCTGCATTATAACCTCGTTATATTGAGGGTGTACTGTATAAGAACCAAGATACAATAGTGAAGACATGCCATAACAAAATCAAATGTATCCGATTTAGAAATCAAACAATGAAGTAGCAATGCAATTCACAGCTACAGGCCAAAAGCTGTCCCAGGGCCAGTTTGGTGTCCCACCCCAAAATATTTTCTAGGGGCACTACTGCTGGATATCTAAACTGATCCGTTCAGAAACAAATAACTAACTGATTTTATTTCAAAAAGACAAATGGGTTGAGTCTCTTCCCCCACCCCGAGTGTGTGTGCGTGTGCGCGCGCGCAGTGCGTGTTAGTGGGAGGATTCCGTTTCTCTCAGCAGGAAGCGCGCTGAACTCTCCGTCTCTCTCCGCTCGGTGCGTCGCGGTTTTTGTGGTTATTGAAGATTTGTTTAATTTTTCGGATCAAACCTGCAGATATGGCGACCGAGGTAAGAGCACCCCACTGTTCTAACCGACCCGGTACCGATCGGCTGTCTGACCGCAGAGGCGCTCCTCCGGGTGGAGCGGCGGTTCAGGTCGCACTCTGGCTGGACCGGTCGCACCTCTTCCGCTGGTCGTGAAGTTAAAATGTTTTTGTACCAGTGAGGTCAATCCTCACTTTTTATTTTAAAGTTTGTATGTTCAGGCATTTGGTCACATTAACTCAAATCATAAATAACATTACTTTGTACAAAATACAATAATTTGTTTGTCTTTCTAAGTCCGAAAATGATGGTTGACCATTTAAAATGCTTTGTGAATTAAACCCCATTGAAGCAGGAGATTTCTGAAGCTATTTGGTTCCTGAACACTTTATGCAAATGAAGCCAACAGAAATTGAAACTCAAGCAGCAACCGTTCAAACAAGCTGCGTTCAAAAGCGGCAGCTGGGATGTTGAAAAGGTTTCAAATGAGAATTTGATCAAACAGGATTCTGATGAGCAAACACCAGATTAGAATTCTGGATCGTCAACAAACAGCTGGTAGAAAAACATAAAAGCACTAACTTCAGCTTTTTACAGCAGAAAATAAAGTCCAGAATGTTTGATCCCTAACGGATAAATTGGGTGGTGTTCCTGTTCCACACTAAAATAAAATCTTTTTCTGTGTGAACACCAACTCTGTCCAACATTTACCTGTGAGTTCAGAAGCTCATTTCGATTCAATCACATTAAATCGATCATAACCATAACAGGAAAAAATAAATTACAAAACAACTGGTTTAAAATTTATTTCCCACATCCCACTTTACCAGCATGCTTTTATTTTGTAATGCCTCCTGGATCGTGTACACTTCCTTCATTTCTAAAGAAAAAAACTCATTGGTCTTGTGTTTGCAAAAAAAACAGAAACTGCAGCAACATAACAAAACGCTTCAGAGCAGCAAAATGTTCCTTTAGCTGTTATTTGGTGTTATTTTATTAACTTATTCATTTTTTGTTTGTTTTATTGTTTATTTAGCGTAGCTCTGACTCCAGGAGAGTACAGCAGAAGCTGCAGGGATGATGTTTCAGCTTCACCCTTGGCTGTGACTCAATGTGGTCAGACTAATTGTTGGATGTTGGTTTGAACCTCAGAGAGATGTAATCAACTGCTGCGAGTCAAAACTCCTCCAGCCCCCAAAGAGATGAAAACTTGTTGTTTGCCTAGGGAACACTTGTTCATATTTCGAAAACACATAAAGGGAGAGCATGGCCGCTGATGGCTGTCAGCCATCTGTCAGACATGTTTACCGTCCTTCATCGTGTGCTTTGTGTCAACAATGCCAACGTTCTTCCTCCACCCGGAAAGTATCACGCAGGTTTTAAGAGCATCAGACCTGAAGCAAAGATTAGCAGAACTCAGTTGTGTCAGATCTGTCCTTTAGGGGTCGTTTACGAGCAAACAGACAAAACCAAACGTCACTGACCAAAGTCTTTGGTTTTCATTTGTCTTCCCACTCTGTCCTGGAACATTGCTTCCTGCTTGTTGTGAAAACAATCTGACCAAATGAGCTGGATTATAATCCCACATTTAGAACATTTTATTTGACAGAAACGTTTTAACCTCCATGTTGGTTCTTTTCTCTGAAGGAGAACTTCTTGTTGTTTAAGATCAGGCAGATTTCTGCAGCCGCCTCCCTTTTTTAGCCCCTCAGAGAGCAGCTGGGTCTGATCTCAATCAGCTGTTTCTGCATCAGAACAAACCCAAACACCACACGCCTAAATCCCAGCTAAATCCCAGCTGCTGCAGAACACCTTTGTTACCAATAGATGAATACACACACAAAGGTCAAGCTGCAAAAAAAAAAAAAACAGAAGTGTGTTATTGTGTAAAGTTTCACCTGCAGCTCAGCCTGCGAGTTGACTGTTACCTAAGCAGGAAATTGTTGAGTGGCCAATGGAGTTTCTGTGTTCAGATTAGATTAGCAATGTTGGATTACTATATAAAATCCAATCTGTGTTTCAGGATCATTTCTGATTCAGATTATAAAAGTAAATAAAACTCTTCTATGGGCGATGCTGAGGGAAGATGATGAAATAAATTCCTGAGATTCCAGTTTTGTTACAACGCCTGAGATTCTCTGTGTGATTTAACTGTTTGCTGTAGCTGTTCTACAGATTAAAGATGTTTAGGTGGAATCAAACCACTTTTAACAGGAATTTGTTCACTGCAGAGGAAAAATAAAACGTCTGGCTGGTTTCAAATAATCAAACCATCTTTAAATGAAAGCAGCACTAAAATAAAAAGTGCATTTTTTTTTACCAGATCTGGACTAAAACTGGACATGAGTGTGTTTTGTGCATAACTCAGATTTGACTAGTAGAACACAATCAGACGTGCACGGTTCCCACGTGTTTGGGTTATGTTCTTAGAAATCAGTAATGACAAACAAACAACAAATGTGAACTTTGTTTTAAAAGATAAATAAGTTGAAATACTGTCTTGTGATAAAAAACAACACTTGAAAAAATATTTAAAATGTTTAATTTAGAAATGTAGAATAATAAACACAGAATCTCTGAAAATATAAACAAAACACAATCTGTTGACCACTATTCAGACATGGCATCATCAACAGGCACCAAATGACCTAAACTTAGCTAAAATTAAATGTCTTTAGAAGATCAATGGATCTGTTAAAATGTTATAATAAAAAACAATAACAATGCTGACATTTAAAGAATAAAGTATTTAACTGATTGAAGACAAACTTGCTGAGACAAGAACAGAACAAAGCAGTACATTTTTTTAATTTTTGGTCTCTCCTTCTGTTGGATGTCTGTCGCCCTCCTGTGGATTTTTAAGATCATTACAGCAATCTGAACATAAGAGCCTAAAGTCTGATGGTGTCTGCTGATTCTGTCCCTCAGTACTCTGAGCTGGAGCTGGCCATCAACATGTTTGTCACGGAGTTCCATAAAGCTGCAGATAACGGAGCGACCATGAACACCACCCAGTTCCAGACCCTGGTCTCCAAACAGATGCCTGCTGTCGCCAAGGTAGCCATGACATCAGAGCTGATCACCCAATCACAGCATCTGATTGTTATTGATGAGTATGATTATTATGTTGGAGTTTAAAAAGGTCGAAGCTCAGCTTCTCCTGCTGCCAACAGGGGGAGCCACTCTAAATAACAGCACCTCTGATGGGTTTTTTCAGCTTTGTTTCTGGATCTGAGGCCCAATCCCAGTACTCGCCCTGCGCCCTGCAGTCTTCAGCAAAGTGCACTTGAAGAAAGTGTGTAGTAAGGCTTCGAGTGCGTTATACACAAGTGTGCAAATAATTGCCAAATTGAGACTGGGAGCATTGCTATCGCAATTCATGCTGGGATGCTGGTCGCTGTGATACTTAAAAAAACTTTATTAACAATCAAAGAAATATTGAAATATTTTTACATTCATTGCTGTTTTGTCTAAAAGTTTAAGAGCATCAACTAATCGTCCTAAAATTAACTACTTTTATAAGAAAATACATATTTTCAGAAAATGAATCTGAGCCTTTTCTCCCACAGCGATAGATTGTAGATCAAGGGTGCAAAAGGAGCGTCATCAACTTCTGCACTTGAGAATCGGGACACCCTACGCACTCGCACCCCTGGTCGTACCTCCACACTTGTGCCCTTCAATTGCGCGATCCCGACCAGGGGTGCGAGTGCGTAGGGTGTCCCGATTCTCCAGTGCAGAAGTTAATCACGCCCCTTTTGCACCCTTGATCCACTCTTCACCCAAGTCCACAACGATGCAGACTTGGATGAAGCATGTTACCTACAATCCATTGCTGTGGGAGAAAAGGCTCAAGTGCCTTTTCTGAAAATATGTATTTTCTAATTAAAGTAGTTTTAGGAGGATTAGTCAGAGGTGGAAAGAGTACTAAAATTTCCTACTTAAGTACAAGTACCAATACTTGGATAATTTTTTTCTCAAGTATAAGTGAAAGTACTTGCCTAAATTTTTACCCAAGTAAAAGTAAAAAGTATCGTAAATAACATGTACTCAAAGTAAAAGTTACGTAGTTACATTTTTGTCAGCGTAAGGATGGTTACATCTAAGTAGTGCAAAATCTCAACGCCAGTTCACAATTCACTCGTGCGCAGGCACACACACACACACACACACACACACACACACACACACACACACACACACACACACACACACACACACACACACACACACACAGTTTGATGGAGGGATTTCTATCCAATCAGTGAGAACAGGACGTGCACATTGATTGGACGAGGTTTTTCTACGATTGTAGGTTTTAATTGTGATTAAAATTATTCTTTATTTTGAGCAAAACAATTATTCGTTTAGATGCCATCAGCATGTGAGGTATCTCAATGTTCTCATGACAAAACTCTAACATGAGACTGTCCTCTAACCTGTCATATAACAAGCTAAATGAAAGTCAAACATTTCAAATGGACCGTATAACAGCTGCTAACATTGGCCCTGCCCTACTTTACCTCTACAGTACAGCTCCTTTATCCATGTCCATCCTAGAGCTCCTCTCTGACCTTCATGCTTATTTAGACCAGCTGATTTTTAAAGTTAGCAAAGTTCATCCTTGGTAGTCCACTCACTCATTTAACCCTTCACCACTGAAATCAGTTTGTTCATTCCAATCCTCCTAAATAATCCTCCAATCATCCAATTGGAATCCTTAAGAGTCCCAAAATATCCATCCTGTTCCCATCTGTACCGGGTCGGCCCGGGCCGGGTAGCCCCAGTCGGCCCCAGCCTGGCCCGGTTGATTCCACACATCCTTGCCTTAAGCCCATGTGGGCTGATTCTACCCACCAATCAGAGGCTTGCTCTAATGGAAGGTGTGAATTTGCTGTCAGCAGTGGGTGTGTTGGCCCTGGTCGGCCTGAAGCAGACCCCCTCGAGAAGAGGGCTGAGAATGAGCCTTGGTTGGCCCGGAAAAATACCAGGCCACCCAGATATGTAAACAACCTACGCTACCCGGCCCAGGCCGACCCGGTACAGATGGGAATGGCCCATAATAAGCCTTGGGAGCCCAGGTGTTACTAGAACTAATGGTGTCTCCTCACCAGCGTGAGCCTCCAAACTGTGAAGGTTGGTCTCCAAACATGAACTTTAAATGTATGCATTTATCTCCTCTTATAACACTTTAACATGTTTTAAAAGGCTTGTATCATGATAAGTTACACCTCCCAGACCAAAGATAGGTCCAATATAAGATAAAACATTATCATAAACACTGCAGAGACGTCATTATTTAGGAAATAGAATTTATTTTTGTTCACCATTACTTCAACCAAGAAATAAGATGCATGGATTTGATGAAACCATGCTGTCTCATGCAGTCCTATATGTGCAACACACACACACACACACACACACACACACACACACACACACACACACACACACACACACACACATCATGACTAATTTAACTACACTGAACTGCTTTTGTAATAATTTACTTTGCTTTTTGGATTGCTGGCTGTAATGCACATAACACACAAGCTTGCAATATAAAGCAGGACAACACCTGTCCCCCTCCAGCTCGGCTGTGTGACTGCACCAACCTGTCCTGTGTGACCCTCACCATGTAGCCCTCATGTCCATGCTGTCTCTGGAGGAGCAGATAGGAGACAAGATCTCCTGTAACTTAAAATAAACCAAAGCTTCCTCCCAGTTCCTCTTTCAGCTGATTTTAACATCAGTTTATCATCATGAAACAAAAGAATAAAGTGGGACAAGAAATTCTATCTTCTATTTCTCTCTCCTTTTAACTTCTCCGTGTCCCTAAATAAAAGAGACGGATGATTATGCTGCAGCCGCCGTCACTGACCCCGCCCCCTCCCCAAGACCGGACCTCCTGACATCTCAGCACTCGGTCTGACTGAGCGCTTCCAGGAGAAACAATAATGAAATTATGAAAATAATAACGCTAATGCTAAACCGTTTAGCCCGCATCTCACGCATTGATTATTTGATTATTTTCTTCAGCTCTATCCTAAACCTCCCGGTCGGCCATCGGGGCTGGGGGATGCGCGCGGGTTTTGGGGGCCACAAGGAGAGGGTTCGCGGGCCGGACGTGGCCCGCGGGCCGCCATTTGTGGACCACTGCCGTAGGGCACAGTGCGAATATTGGGATAGGTCCTAAGTTTTTCCAGTAATGCTCATCGACTTCCTGCTTCCTGTCTGCAGACGGTGGAGAATGAAGAAGGTCTGGGTCAGGTCCTCAATCAGATGCAGGTAGAGAGCGGTCAGAACATCTCCTTCGGAAACTTCTGGAACCTTATCAACAAACAGGCTGTCCAGGTGTTCAGCACCATGCTCAAAGAGAAGAGTGTGAAGTGTCACTGCCTGCTGCAGTGACACCTGCAGGCGCACCTAAGCCAGAACACACCAGGGCCTGGCTCCTCTATGCTGACCACAGGGGGCGCTGCAGGATCACAGTCCAGCCAAAAACAAGAGAAAAGGGATTTGTGTTTCCGTCAAATTTGGAGTTTCAGGTAGATTTAATTTCTGCTGATGTGTAAAAGAACAGGAGGTCAAAGGTGAGTCATCAATGACTGAAAAAATTTTAACAAACTCTTATGAAATACAGAAAATGTCAAAGTGAACAACTTATTTAATGAACTAAATGAGCCAAAAAATTAAGAACTTGAAAGACTAAAAACACTAAAAGTGATTCAACCAAGAAAACAGAACTTTTTATTGGAAAATACAGAGAAATCATCGATTGGAAATAAGAAGGGAAATAAAAGATCCATGGCAGAATTGGTTTGTAGTAAAAGAATGAAACAATGAATTTGGGTTTGTTTGGGAGTTTTTTTTAAATAATAAACTCTTAATTCTTGTTTTTTTTTTTTTTTACTGTTTTTCATTGTTTTTCCTCCATAAACGGACAGAAACTCATTCAATGACAAAAACATTATTTACATAAAAATGTTCTGTGTTTATATGAATATCATTCCTGTTGTTAGTATTTTAACATGTTTCAACCTATATGTAATCCTGAACACTAGAGATATAAACAACCTCCACTGACATATATTCATCTCTTAAAGCTGTTTAATTCTAACACCTGAATGTTTCTCTTTGTTTTATTAAAACTGTTTTGTATTCAAACCACATCCGGACTTCTGACTGAATCATTACTGTCAGGATAAAAAAAAATCTGATACTAAAACCCATTAAATGATTAATTATTAAAATGCATCAGCATAAATAGAAATATTCTTTTAAAGAGCAAGTCGCCTCCTACCAGAGTATTACTCCGCTCTCACTTCCTGTGGGGCGGAGCTGCTAACAAATACACACACACAGGCTCACAACGACATTGTATCATATGGTACCAGCTAACGTTCTAGGGTACCTCTTAGCCAATAGCGATGGCAGATTTTAATTCAAATGCAGTGCAGAGTTTTTACCTGACAACGGCACAACACTGACAGTTTTAGGCAGAAAATTTAAATTTTAACTAAAATGCACTAAAGTGCAAAACTATTGACTACATGTGTCTGCAGCACGATTAGACACACGTTTATATAGCTAGTTTATCAGAAAAAAAGTTGATTTGGGGGTGACTTGCTCTTTAAGAGCCAGAAACAGGTGGCCACTAATTACATCTAAATGGTCTCCATTTTCTGGGTATAAAAGACCATTAAAGGGAGAATAGGCAATTTTGGCTTGCTTCTAGCACCCCCTAGTGTCCGTTTAGTAGAACTGAGATCAAAACCTCTCTCCTTGCTGTGCGTTCGTCTTTTAATCAACTTAATCTAACAGCTGAAAAGTTTCCTCAGCCTATGTGTCTGCAGGAGTGATTCATCACTAAATTAAACAAATCAGCTGTGTTCATGATCTAAAACATCCAGGAAACGTGCTGGAAGCAGACTGCAGCGCCAGGTATGTCCGCTCAATTTTTTTCTAAGTCCATCAGTCCAGACCGGCACTCTGAATTTGCAAATGCGCTATTCTGGCCCCATAGAGTGGTGAGGGTCTGAGTGACGTTTCATGAACCCTGTAAAGGGTCATTTTAGCACATAGTGGCTCAAGAAAATTATTTATAAATGTGAAAAAGTTGCATAGTAATCCCTTTAAAAGATAAAGTCTAATAAAGAATTGCTGTGACTCAGACGTTTTTCATCTTCTCCTAAATCTGTAATCTTGTATGTTCAATAGGAAACGTAAGCTGTAAAACTCATTTTTTTCACAATGAAATCACACATGTTCTGATTATGATATTCAGAATATTTTACAAAAGACAAACGTTTTCTTTTAGAGTAACTGGATTATTTAAAGCTATACAATCCAGATTTTTTTTTATCCGAAAAGTCTTACAGTCAAGCAAGAGAAGACTCAGCAACTGAGTAGGTAGGCAGGCAGGGTGCCATGCAGCACGCATGCTTGTCACTGCTTTCAAGTATGGAAAGCCAAAGGAGACAATAAAGCACCTGTAAAATATGTGTGTGATAGCTGTCAAAATGCGCATCTTGAACATGCGCAATGACACCAAATGTGACAAAACAGCTTGTAAAAGTTGCACTTAATGGCTGTTTTTACATGCATTCAAGAAGCAGGTTATATGGAGGGTCAAAGGGGACAAAATACTGCCTTTAAAAAATGTGTGCCCTGTCCATACAGACCCATGTACAAGATGGGTGTCTCAGGCCATTATACCTTTGTATTAGAGCCCTGCACGGGTCTAAAATCTGAGCCCGTGTCCGGCCCGACCCGAGGGGGTGGAGCCCCAGCCCGACCCGGTCCGAAAAGGTTTTCAGGATTCTCTGGCCCGGCCCGAGCCCAAGCCCGACTTTTTTTTAACCAACTAAATGAAAACAAAGTGCGTCAATCCTGACCAATGTGTTAAAAGACGTGCAGGATCCGATCAATTTGTTTTTCCCTCATTTACCGTCACGGAGATAACGGCGCACTGGCTCTGGTGGTAATCAAGTTAAATAGTATCTCTTTCCAACAATTTTCACAAGAAAACAAAACAGTTAAAAGCAGGGCTTGTGTTGTGTTGACCGGATAGTTCCTGTATTTGGCCGTTTATTTTGACGGAGAAAGAATAGAAAGAATTACCCCGACGCATGCAGACAAACTGACATTTTATTCGTTATGCACATCGCAGATGTAACAAAAAGATTCCCATCTGAACATCTGAGCTGGACACTGCTCAGCGCAGCTCGTTGTCAGTGCATATGTGCACAGTGAGCTGAAGTTGTGGAGATTGGCTTGGAGCGCGTCACAGAACCAGAGCGCATGCGGGAAGGTTCCTCTGACTGAAGCAAGTGTTTTCCAAACCCTGTCTCTCAGAGAGAATTGTCACTTAGAAAATGTTCCCTGATTATGAAACTTTGGCTGAATAGAGCTCCGGACCCCACGTGACTCTCAGTTAGTGGACGCCATTTTGGCATGCAAAAAAGGTAAACAAACACGGATGTAACCATGAACATGAACGGGATCCGCTTGGATTTTACTTCGTCGGAGTTTACTTCACACTTTAAAACAGAAGAAATCGTTTTATATAGTCAGAAATTAAATAGACTGAACATCTCCGACCCTTACCGTGCCCCTGGGATACTTTTTAAAAACGCCAGAAGCTGTCGGAGCAGACTTCTTACCGGCACAACACCGGACCTGGCCGGGGGAACCCCTTGGGATTCCCCCGGCCGGAGGAGCTGGGGAGAAGGTCTGGGACTCTCAACTCTACTGCCCGCTCCGACGCCAGGAGCTGTCAGAGCGGACTTCTTACCGGCACAACACCGGACCTGGCCGGGGAACCCCTTGGGATTTACCCGGAGGAGCTGGCTCCGGCGGCTGGGGAGAGGGAAGTCACGCTACTGCCCCCGCAACCCGATTCCAGATACGCGGATGAAAATGGATGGATGGACGGACAAATAACAGATTTACACGTAAGTAGTCTCGGTGACACAGATAATAGCAATCCAAAGTGCTTTTTATGTGTGATCTGACAATTGATCAACCATTGCTTAAAAATTAAATACAGCTTAGCCGGTTAATTGCTGTGATCATAAAACACGGAAACGGCAGCACGCAGAACTCACGAGGCAACGTTTTACATGATGTTTACTTGCTGCTATGAGTAATAAGACAGAAAAAGCCACGCCAAAATAAGTTTAGGAAGCCCACTAAGAATCATAATAAAAGCATTTAAAATAAATACCATACACAGTTGAGGAAACGTTGGTTTAAGTACCTGATATGAAGCGGTCGCAGCATAAGCGAAAACCTTTACTCTCGGGATCCCACAGCTTCATTTTCGCCCGGTCACTAGCGCGTTTTATTACAATGATCCAACGTTTGCGGCGCTCCGGATCTTGGGGAATCCTGTAGATGGCTCATTCCTTATGTCGTCCGCGTCTGTTCTGCATCCTGGGGCACAACAGGAATCTACCATATTTCCCGTTTGATTGAGTTTCCTGACAATAACAAATAGTCCAGCTGCCGGCTTCTGCATGCCAATATGGCGCCGTTTCGATTTGAACTGTTGCATGCCGGGAGAAGTGACGTCAACTCCCGGAGCTCTATAGTGCTTGTTCCTGTCTCCAATGTGGCGACACATCCAGGAGCCGTCTGAGGAGAAGCCCAGAATCGACTCACATCCTCTTCAGCTCAGAAAGCGCATATGATTAAGCACAAGTGTGACCCATCAACCCGGTCTCACAGCAAGATCGGGTTGGGCCTGTTCAGGTTTACGCAGACAATCTTTACATAGAATTGACTTACAGTTATAAAATTAATTCAGTAAAATATAAAGCTTTTTATTTAAATATCCATTCATTATTTTACAAGCACAGAGAACCGCATGCGGGGATGAGGTCTGCCTCAGTGCCGCTCTCTTGGTCCGCCAGGGGACGCCTCTTTCAAAGGTGTTTTCCTAACAGGAAGTGTGGATGAAATGAAATACGTCTCTACCGATGCATTGATCCTCACTTTAAGGAGCTTTACTTTCAAAGAATAAACATCTGAGAATGTGAGCTCGGCACTATCTGGAAGGACATAATTTCTTGACTTTAGAAGCATTAAAGAGGGTCTCACTTTACCTAACGTCAGTGGGAAATAACAGTAAACTGTGAACCTCACAGTCACCATCATGTTATTTCACACGGTCTACGCCTGGGAAAAGGGCTCCTGAAGAGAAACAGCTCAGTCTGTCTGAGGCAGCCGGTGCTTTTTGCATAAAAGCCTTCAGCACCCCGAGAGGCTGTGTTTGCTCTACAAGCAGAGCTCAACAAAACGAGTTCCTCTGGGAAGATGTGTGTTTCTTTTAACAAACATTTAACTCAGATCAAACCCACAAGTTTTTAGTATGAAAATGACACATGATCACTGTTTGGGGATTTTATGAGTGAGTGGAGGTCAACACACAATAGTTTAGCTGATGATATGACAGCTTTTTTGTCGTCTAATAACAAAACTTGACATTACAGGAGAAAATAAATGTATTTATTTGTTTTCTAGTGCATTGTAAATGTATAGAGTCATACAATATTTAATTGGTGAAAGAAATGTATCATAATGTGTATAATACTAATTTTATTACAGTTATATGTGAGGCATGACATCTGCTAGCCAGCAGATGACAGCAACGACATACAAATCAGCCACCCCAACATAAAATTATTCCAATAATTGAAAAAGAAAAAGTGAAAAAGACTCTTGGTGGGGGTATGTATGGAATATGTTCCCTTCTTAGTCCACTGTAAGTATTCAAATTAACAGTTGGAAAATGACTAACACTCAAAAATGTATTTCTCCTCTCCACATGAGCATTTTTACACATAAAGTCAGCTATCGTAGTTACAGATAAATCAGACTATAATATTACTCAAATACACAAGCCTATCATGTATGTTTTTAACCCTCCCACTGTCCTAATGGGTGTAACCCCATGGGGAAAGTTGACCATTGAGCAGGGTTGATGGTTTATCCCTTGGGTCCATGTGGCAGGGGTGAGGAGTGAGCACCACCTCACTGATGGTAAACAGTAGAGGTCCCTCCTTCCTTTATTTTGAAAGGAGAAAATCTGATAATCCCCATAGCCAGCTGGATATGAGATATGTTTCAGTTTAACCTTCCTTCCAAAATGACTGAAACTTTAGACT